AAGTTTGGCTCACTCGTGCCCTCGCCGTCCAACTTTTCATCTAGATATGCCCTTATGGGCGTTAAATGCCAAATGGAATTGCCACGTCATTTTTACATTACCACGTGACAATTATATTAAAGGAAAAAGGGTCAAATATACCCCTAAACTATTCGAAAAGGTCTAGATATACCCCGTTTTAAATAAACTACCCGATCCGTTTAGATATTTATTTGCGAATTTTTGGCGTTAATTTTATATATTTTTCCTATTTTTTATTAGTCAATTACTCATTTTCGGGATTTACCCAAAAAAAATAATAATTAATTTTTATTGTTGAAAACGGGTCGGGTAGTTTATTTAAAAGGGGGTATATCTAGACCTTTTCGAATAGTTTAGGGGTATATTTGACCCTTTTTCCTTTAATATAAATGTCACATGGTAATATAAAAATGACGTGGCAATTCCATTTGGCATGTAACGCCCATAAGGGCATATTTAGATGAAAAGTTGGACGGCGAGGGCACGAGTGAGTAAAACTTTAAACGGTTTATTTGGGGCATAATTGACCCTTTTCCCTTAATAATAAGATAAAATCCTCAGAATAAGTACAAACAAGGAGGGCTAGGCCTTACCTTACGAATCCTAATGAGGAAACATGACTAAAATATATCTGAATTAAGTAATCCAGTTTTAAAAAATATAACAAATTCAACACTAAAATTTTCAAGAGTTGAACTCATTAAAACTTCAATGTTAGATCAGTTTCTGGATTTGGTTCAACGGTAAAATTAGAAATTTCATTTAAAGTTTTCAAATTTAATAAATATGTATACAAAGTATATTTGGCTTATGCTTTAACATTTTTTTTCCTGTCCAACTGACCATATTTTTCTGACAATTGCCTGCCAAAATGTTGGTATAGTTTGCACGCACTTCGCTCAAATTTTGTAATGATGTTTGATTAGATATAAAATTAAAAAATAAAAGAAATTTTTAAAATTTGTGATTTAAAATAAATCATAAATATAAGTGTAATCATACATCTATCTTATTAACGATAAAACAAGAAATTTAAAATTGAAATTACTACTACTAAATATTTAATTATATTGTTTTTTTCTTTTCACAAACTTATGCAAAACTACCGTATAAATTAGGGAGAGGCAGTCAAATTATTTAAATACTATATATTTTATGGAGAAGAAAACAAAAGTATTTTTTTTATAAAAGAAGTAGCAGTAAAACTAAGCAATGGACCATAATTCAGAAAATTAAAGAAGGCACATGACGGAATAATAAAAGCATAATTAACGAAGGTTATGATCGAGTAATAAGTATTTTTTTTTAACTAGAGTTCTATTTCAGATCTAGGTATGTGTTGGAGTAACTTTTAGAGAATATTTTACCTTCGATATAAGATTTTTTAATATGAATTTGAATTAATCGAATAGGAGAAAAAATCATAAAAAACAAAACAAAGGAAAGCAGAAGTATTAATGTGAGAGATGGAGAGGTCTGCAATTTAATCCCATGTTGGTTCACTTGCTGTAAATAAAAGTGTACATCTGGTAAGTGCACATGTTCTTGTTTTCATATCACTGTGTGGTACGACCACAGTCGCCAGCCTTTTCAAATAAAAAATAAATCAATCATTTTACCACTACCACCACATTAGCCATGCTCATTATTTTCTAAAAAAAGTACATATATTTTACTGTACTAAAATGTCATTATTTTTTGGATGACTATATAACTATATTATTAAGTGTAACATAAGCGTTATAAATTACGTAAAAGTGTTTATATATGCTACAGCTTTTTAGTCTGGTGCTAGCGAATAATTGCATCAAAGGCTGGCTGGCTGGCTCTTTGTGTCTTTATACAATTTCACATTAACATAATGACACTTTTAAGATTAGATATATTACTAGTTGCTAAAATTCTACCTGTCCCAAATCAATTCCAAACAAGTTGTAACTTGTAATATCGTTCCCCGATCTGAAGGACTTCTATTTCTGATAATATATTTCCATTATCACAATTTATGCGTAATTATTTGACATATAGTTTTTTAAGATTAGCATATTTTTTGAATTGACAAAAAGAAAAATGTGTCACATAAAATTGGAATAAAAGGAGTATAATTAAAGATTTTATAATTCATAATTCTTACATGCTCATCAAACAACATTAAATTCATATTGCAGTGTGATGCATTTCCAACTGAATTTCAGCGTTCTAAAAAAAGGGGAAAAGGAAAAAGGAAAAGAAAAAGAAAAGCAAAGTGGTCAAGGAAAAGTGTTTACTAAAAATAATAATTTTAAAATGTGTATATTAAAATATAAAGGTGGCGACTCTTATATGTATAGTCAATTTATAGCATATATATTTGGGAAGAAAGGACGAATATACCCGAACTATCGTAACTGGTATGCAGATATCCTCCGTCATATTTTTGGGACATTGGTGCCCCTGTCGTCCAAAAATTAAAGCATATATACCCTTTATAATAGCGGACATACACGTGTCATAATCTTATCCACGGATCAAATATTTAATAAATATCGAATCGACAAATAAGATTGTGCCACGTGTCCCTATTTAGTCTTCCGTTAGAGTAAAGGGCATAAATACTCTAGTTTTTGGACGGCAGGGGTACCAATGTCCCAAAAGTATGACGAATTTTATTTGCATACCATTTACGATAGTTCGGGAGGTATATTTTTTCTTTTTCCCAATATATTTTACACTGTACAGTTCAAGTTGACAGTTTAAAGAACTTATGAACGATAATAATGGGCAATTTTTTTATTATAACACTTTATTATTAATCTAAAAAACTGGTAACTAAGTTGCATGTTAAGATACACAAGCCTAATTTTTATACCATGAATACATATAATTTAAATCTACTATTACATTCCATTATGTGACATAATTCGACTAAAAAAGAAATAAGATTTTTAAAATTTATTGTCTAAAACATATCATAACAATTACTATATGGTTATAAAAAAAATTATTAAGAAAAAAATGAAAAATGTAAGATGAAATAATTTAAAGTTTAAAAAGTATATCATTCCTTTTTAAACAAAATAAAAAAGAAAATTTTATCGCACAAACTGAAATAAAGAGCCTATTATATACTCCCTCTGTCCCTAATTACTTGTTCACTTTTGAATTGACACACCAATTAAGAAAACAATTAATGACATAGTGAGTTTACCATTTTACCCCTATTAATTATGAAGTGGATGAATTTTTTTATATTTTTCAAAGTAATTAATTATTTAATTGAGGGTATCATAGGTAAAAAAAAATCATTTTTTCTTAATTTGTCAAAATAAATAAGTAATTAGGAATAACTATAAAAGGAAAAATGGAGCAAATGAATTGCGTGTTAAAAAGCACGGTACTTTGCTGGTGACTTAAAAAGAATTGATAAAAAGTGTTTTTCTTTCTTAAAAGGAAATGCAATGGGCAACTAGTTAGGGGAATGGAAAGGCATAATAAACGTATTCTTTAATTTGAGACCTATTACTATTTTTCGTTTTCCAGTTTAGATGTATATAAGTAAATATTTAAATTTATATAAAGTTAAACAAGTTAATACATATCATTTACGAAGCAATTTGTGTGTATTATATCATGTAAAATACGTTTGTCTACTTATTTAAATTCGAGAGCAAGATGACGGTAGATCGAGATTAAGTTAAATGACATATTTATGTATTATGCGGAATGAAAAATAGAGATGCATGTGGAGGTAGAAATAATTGATTACAGCGCACAGTGCGGAAATAATGTTTCCTCACCTCACCTCATCTTTGTTTTATCTTTTGCTCATGTGATCCCAAAATGGTTGCACATGCTATGCCCCCCTCTTTTATTTTTTGTCTGTACAACTTACATATCCCATTCAATTCAATTCAATTATGGACCTAGATCACCTTCTTTTTTCTTTTCTTTATTTGTTTCATTTCACATCTTCATTTTCCCAAATCCAATCCATGCTTTCTTTAATTCATCATCTTCATGATAAGACCACTTCCTTTCAACCCATGTGATTTTCTGTCTTTCTATCAAGAAGCAAAGCCTCAAATATATAGAACCGAATTCAGAATTTGAAATTTCAAGAAATGAATTTTAATGACAAAAAAATTGAATTATATTGAACTCGTAAAATAAAATGAGCGAATACATAATTTAGAGCTAATAAGAAGATCATTTATATGATTGAACTATTATATGTTTTCATTTTGAACTCGATCTAGATCCGCCTCTCCTTTGTTGCTGTCAAAATGAATAAATGCTATATTTATTTATTTATTTATTCCAATTGTAATATTTTAAGGCGATAATTCTCATCCATTCTTTGATATCTCTATTCTCTTGCATGTGCTTGGACTGCTGTCTGGATTCTGTAACTACCATCCCATATGGGAGTGCAATATTTTTATGCACCGGCACTTTCAAATTTATTTATTACTCCTATTTCTTAATGAACCTTGCCTCAAATATATGTGATTTCTATATTTAATTAAAGCATCAAATCAACACCTACATATATATAAAAGAGCAAATAAATACTACACTAATATCTTTACCTTCTAATAATCATTTTAAATTATAAAAAAACTAAAACAAAACTGCTGTAAACATATACTATTGGAATTAAGAACACAATGGGTATGGACGATTAATCGATCAATGAAGTAGGATGAAAACAAAATTAGAGGTTAGATCCCATAAGAGGGGAAATATATATAGTGTCTCATTCTAAAATTTATTTATATTTTCACAGAGTTGCTCAATATTTATACTAATAAAAATTAATATACTTGACGAAATAATCGAAGTGCATTTAAATTGATGCGAACGCTACTGTTATAAGAGAAATATTGGGCTCACTTCTAGTGTAACAGACCAACTTGTTGGAGGGATACAATCTTACAAATTGCAAAGGCACATATTGGTAAAGCAGGGGATATGACAGTTTTTTCTTTTATAAAAAAGTTTTTTTTAGTTTTTTATTTGATATTTATATTAGAACTCGATTAATTTTATTTATTGAGAATAAAATAATAAGTATTTTAATAAAGATAATTTATATTCAAACAAACTCAAATTCAAAATGAAGAAGTCCTAACCACTCGGTCAAAATCTTCTGGTTATTGGGAGATATGATAGTTATTGGCCCACAAGTGGGGTTAGAAGCTCAATGCTTAAAAAGAGTTAAAGTCCATATAGTAAACAAAAACAGAACACATTGACATAAAGTGAGAAATGTCCCCATTAAGGGGCATAATAGGAAGACTACTATAAATTCAGATCAAATCTTTTACTAAAATAATAAATTGATCCCATCAACCCCAAAGGGGGTCTATTTATAGTCCAAACTCCTCAACACTTTTCATAACTCACTCTTACATAAACACTTCACAAAGAAAACCTCTCTTTTCTTTTGCTTTCTGTGAAGCAAAATCAGCAATGGCGAAGCTTGTTTCATTTTTCCTTTTGGCCCTTATTGCCATTTCCATGGTTGCAACCACTGCTCTAGCTGCTGATGCCCAGTACCACCTTGATCGTGTAAGTTTTATTTTTTCTCAATTATTTGGGGAAATGGGTAAGGGATTATAATGTCGGGAATCGAAACTCTCACTTGTTAAGATAGTCAACCAACTTGAGTTACTAAGATTCTGTTTCTTTTATTCTAACAAATTTGCTTATTATTTCAGTCAATGTATGGTCCAGGGAGCTTGAAGCCAACACGTAAGTTTTTTCTATCATATCTTTACATTTATTTAACTAAATAAAGAACTCAATTCTAGCCTAAGATTACTAAAATATTGAGATGATTAGTGTCAGGAATCTTTGTCTGGGTGGAATATTTACAATTTTGTTCTCAGAATAAAAAATTCAGCAACTCCTAAATACAGTTAACAAACGCTTAACTACGGTTATTAATTAATCGATTAATAGCCTCCGATTTAGTGAATGTTCGAGTATTTAACATTTAAATATTCTGTGTAGTAGTAAGGAGAAGTGGAGAACTGTGAATTTCTCATACCCGGTCCATCTTATTTATCATGTTTTTTCTAATATTCTCTTAATAAAAATTAATTTTACTAAATTATGGTTATTTACATTTTTATCTTAATTTAATACACTATAATTTATTTATGATTCGAGGGACGTTAGTAGCATATTTCTCGAATTATGATAATTTAGAGTTGACCTCTATATAAATATTTCATGACTTTTATGGAATATTCGAGATTTTGATCTTTAAAAATACCTAAGAGGGAATATTTTGAGATGTCTTTTAAGAGAATTTAGTACCCTTTATATAGGCATCAACTAAGGTTTAAGAATACCCTCACAAAATTCTACTTGAAATTGAAATACGTCATTATTTACATATTTACCATACCTTGTTATAGCTGCAACCTACCCTAACTGCTAAAGTTGTACCCCACAATAGGCTCGAATTCCAGAAAATAGCTCTGTTTCGTTACAAATTTGTCAAATTTAACTAATTTCAAGAACCACCTGTGCCTTTGCTCTGCTATATTTGACCGGTCAATTTTAACATCGGTATTTTTAGTATTTTTTAACTTGACGCAAAATTTACGGAAGAAAAACTTTTGAAATTTGTGTTTTAAAATGTAGTTGATCAATTGTGTGGTTATAAGTTATTGTAATTTAAAATTATTGGAAAGGTAATATATTTTTGATGAGTACTAAAAAGGAAAACATTGTTGAACAACAGAATGCCTGCCACAATGTACAAGAAGATGTAGCAAGACACAGTACCACAAGCCATGCATGTTCTTTTGCCAGAAATGCTGTAAGACATGCCTATGTGTTCCTCCTGGTTTCTATGGAAACAAAGGTGTTTGCCCATGCTACAACAACTGGAAGACCAAAGAAGGAGGACCAAAATGCCCTTAATTATTTAACCACATTGCTACTATAAATTTGTCACCCCAAAGTTTAATTGATATTGTTGTTTATTGGTCTTCTTGATCCTATTATTATTATTATTATTATTTTGTCTGAATTAAGAGGTCATTAGTTGTATGACCTTTTTTACTTTTGTGTATGTATTTGCTCCTTTGGGCAGTATTGCCCGATATGAGAGCTGTTTGACCAATTTTTCTGTTGGTCTATTGTTATGTTACTCTTTTCTAATATAACAAAAAATCTTGTCCAGATTCGTCTTTTGGTTTATTGTCATGTTTTTCTCTTTAACTTTCCTGCTAATTACAAAAGCATTATCAAAGAATGTTTTTTTTTTCTTCCTTCTTTATTGGGAAATTGCCATGTACAATGTGTCCCTGCAGCAAATATTCAACATCTTGAATCCATTGCTACTGTACGACCATAGTCAGTATTTAAAAAAATGATCTAATTTAATTTAATATGGAGTTAAAAAAATAAAATAGATTTTTTTTTAAATTTTGTAATCTTAAATTAAAATTATATCAAAATGACCTTTAATTTTATTATTTTTAATATGCTATTTGAAAAGCTAATATTAACATGTTGCCAAAAAAGAAAAAAAAATCACTTTTTAAAAAGAAAAGTAAGTCATTTTTTAAAAAACTAAAAAGTAATAATTTGGACAACAAAATCACTACTACTTTCAATTTAACAAGACTATCACATTGAACCTAGACTCATTAATTTCCTAATCATATATCAAAATTTAAATTTCCAAATCCCATACGAAATAGGAAAAGGAATTTCTAACCTATTCAAATTAGGAATTTCTAAGTGCGCACAATTATTTGTGTTTATATTTTTTCATTATTGCAATATAACTAAACCTTTATCATACTAGTTATGGACGGGAATTTGTGGTAGTTCAGGTGATAGAACTTGCATTTTTGGGAAGAAAGTGACTGCCTTTTAGGCGGAGTAGAAAGTGAGGTAGGAAAGGTTGTATGCTAAAATATTTGTGAATTATTTATATGAAACTGTAGTACATTCATTAAAAAAGAAAAAGGAAAGCAATCAAAATTGAACATAATTCAGTGACAGACCATTTAGATAGGCACATTGTTTGGTTCTTAGTATGATTCACTAATTTTTAGTAAAAAGAACTTTTTCTAATCGCTTAATTGTACTTGGTCAAAAAGGACTCGTCCATCTGGAGAAATTTTAATTCTAAGATAAATCTTTATCATCTGAATTTTGGTATATAACAAATATTCTTCATAATTATGTAGTATTTCATATATTATAGTATTGAACCAGAGTTATTAGCAAAGACACATTTGTTTTGTCATGCTTGCTCTGCATAGGCTTGAGCCCAATGATTTTAGTTTTATGGGCTGTAGATCTCAGAAGTCATCGTCAGGGGTGGTAAAATTTTTCGTATAACTTATATAAATCTCCTAGTGTAAGGACCTAAATTATATTCTATTCTTATTCTTGATCAATTTTAAAAAATCCCTCAAAATTAGTGCTATCCGGATACATAGCAAAGAAGCCGGATACATTAAATCTGATACATTAAAACAAAATCAACTACACTTTTAAAGGAAAGAGAATATAAAATTGATGTGAGTTCTCCAAATCACGCTAATCTAGTTGATTTCAATCTCTTCCAAATCTTAAAAGATTCAACAAATCAAAATTCAAATTTTCTTCTCTCAATTCTATTCCAAATCCGACTAGCTTCAAACAATTCAAATTTTCTTCTTTTAATTCTCACCCAAATCGTAATAAATTGAAAAAAGTCGAACACAATAGCTGATTTTATTGGTATGCGTATCTACAAATTTGGATAATTAATACATTGGTCTGAATCAACTAATTTTTATCCATTGTTAATTGTGCTCTCATGTTATAGTATCTAGGCTCCTGTTAAACGCTTATACAAAGATGTTAAATTTCTCATATATTAGTGCCACCATATTTGAAAGGAAAAAATGAAAGAAATATTTTAAAATTCAGGCAAGGTGTGAATTTTGCAGTGGGAGAAGCAACATCACTTGATTCTGCCTACTTGTTGGACAAGGGAGTAAGGTCGAGTAACAATCTGTCTTTGGGGACTCAACTAGGTTGGCTAAATGATATGATATCTTTTTTTTGCAAGTTTCCTTCGGGTAATAGCCCTGGGCTGCCCATGTTGGTGCTATGAAATTATTGATGTGTATTCGCTATGCATTGAAACAACATATAAAAAGGTTGAAGAGATACATAGCTTTGATAGAAAGATGTATGTATGGTTATTGTTATGTATCATATACATTTAGTATAAATTCAAATTGACGTATCATGTCTAAAAAATTAGTTCATGATATATTACTAAAAATATATCTTATTTTGTTTGAGAAATATTGTATTTTATAAAAAGTAACATTATACATATAATTATTCTAAATAACATTTTTTTGTGTGAGATACATAAAACAGTAGTGATTAGTTGATACATATAATGATATATGTAATAAAGTTTACTATTGAATTTGATATATATTATGTATCATGCACATATCAATTAATTTGATACACAGTGTCTTTAGCTACAGAACATTAAGGTTTATGTATCAAGTGTATTTATTGAGATTGATACATTATTGTTTGATAATTATTATATATCGGACATTTAGTGTGAATTTGAATTTACATATTGATGAGTCCACAAATTGGACTCATTTAAGGCTTTATTTTAATAGAAATAGTGTCCTCAAATGCTTATTTTATCTCAATATATGATGAAAGCACTTAAGTTTAAGGTATTTAAAGTTTTAGTGGAAGCATGGACACTTAGGCGCAAAAAGGAACAAAAGAGGCTGAAAAGAACGAAGAAACTGAAGTCTGAGCATCGCCAAAGGGACACACTCCGCCTTTGTTCCAAAACGCGAAGCCCTGAAGGAAGTGGATCAAAAGGCAACGAAAGGAGAAGTCGGCGTGTCACCGAATAGTTTCGCAAAGCAGAAATATACCGCCCAATGATCCAGAACGCAGAGATGTTGAAAGCAAAACACAAAAGGCAATGAACTAAAAGAAGGG